AAGGCAAATGGACCCTTGTCAGCTTAGTCAAATTGTAGCACTCTCTTTTACTAAATAGTTTTTAAGACATGGGCATAACCTAATTTTTAGAGACCTGTTCAATAGTAACATATCATTTGGAAAAATAATACGTGTAATTTAAATTCACACATTTCAGCATTTTATTTATTTAAAACAAATAGGTTGCTATTAAATACTGACTATTTTATTAACTGAGAGCATCTGGGAAAACACTTATGATTAGGTTAATTTATGTTATATTTTCCCCTCAACTTGTAAAAGATTAATCAACCATTTTATGGTCTAATTTAGGTGCCTAATTAAAAACAGAGTTCAACACATGCTACACCGTCTTGCTAATAAATCTTGACAGCTTTGTAACATGATGGTTCATATTTCAAATTGTTGCATATAAATGTAGAATTCTGATCTTCACCCAGGAGCCTGAAGTGAGTTACATACTTGGTTTAAGCACCAGGACTGAAAGTACAATTACTTCAAAAAGGATTATCCCCAATCAGATCTTATCTCAAATATCCCTTCATGAAGAGGAAAGCAGTCTTTGCCACCACGTCGTTAGAAACAGACTAGGCAAATAGGGGAGAAATTAGATTTCTCAGCATTCATTATTAGATTTAAAATGTAGGAAAACTTGCTCCTTTCATCCACTCGCTTTCAGGAGGAAGATTTTCTGGAGTTACTGGGTTTCAAAATCTAAGTCTCAAGAACTCTACTCAAAGTTTGGCTACAATTGTCTTCCAGTTAAATATAAGTTTTGTCTTGACTCATGGCGCTGTATTTCTTTTAAATGAATAAATTCACTCCCAGAAGTTTTAGAGCATCTCTCTTAACCCCATGTCCTCCACACCTCCCAGCCTTACAAGGGGGCAAATGCAAGAGAATAAATCTATTCTCCGCAGGGACCTGCGTTGTTTTCTCAGCCTTTACACTTGAGGGATATTTTTGTCATTTTAATGACTCCTTTGACTCTAACTGTCCAGTGCTGGCAGAGAAAAGAGACTGCCATGGTGATGTAATTATCCTCATTCTAGTCATAAACCCACTTTGAGCCAGTTCTGAAGCTGATATTTTTTTAAAGTGACTGACAAAGTGAGCAATGCACACTGAAGTCGCAGAGTATATTGGAAAACTCACGCTCCTTTAAAGCAAACCCAGTTTTGAAAGCATCATATATCACTGCCATCATGTTTTTGGCCCCTTAAGCGAGGGGGCATGGCAGAGTGACCTGGAGCAGGACTGCCCAGGTTAGTAGCTTGCATTAACTAGCTGGGACAACTTGGGAAAGTTGCTTAACTTCTCTGTGCCTGTGTTTTTTCATCTCAGAAAGCACCTACCTCATAGGATTGTACTAAGGAATACATTTGCTAATTCTGTAAAATTTGGAACAGTACCGGGTACATTGGGAAAACATTCAGGAATGTTACCTACCAGCATTATAAACACACACACACACACACATTTTTTTAATGTGGCCATATTATTAGTGTCAGATTATTTTGTGCAACCAAAATGAAAAGAAGAGTCAAGATGGGGAATGGGTTTCTGCTCTGGAAAGTTTATGGCATATTTCTAGGTAAAAATTAATAATCACACTATTTGGCTAACTTAATTCCCAACCTGCTATCATTAACAAATCAAAAATAGACAAAGTCAATATTCAGAGCCTAGATGTACAGGTTTGTGTGTGCTTTCTCCACCCTGGCATCTGGGAGGCTCACAGCCCAGAGCTCTCAACCACACACAGCCTGCCACAGGAGCTGGAGGCCTGGTGTGTCACCCCGTGCGGTGCTCACCCGCACATGCCCAGTTTGAGAGGCCTGATGGAGGAAGAGAGCTGGTAAATAAGCTGGAAAAGCAAACCCACAAGAGTCTTATCCCAAACTAAGACATATACTCAGGAAGGGCGCGTTTGACTTTTAAGCAGGTAGGGCAGTGGCAGAAAGCTGCTGCTCCCTGGCTGGTAGCAGCGAGGTCAGCTCCACGTCGCTGTGACCACCTTCAATCCCACAGCCTTCAATCCCACAACAGTTCTGGCCGAGGGAAGGAACTGCAGTCAATTGCGGAGACTTCACTGCAAATCTGCCCGAGCCCAGGCGGCCGGTTAGGCCACCAGAAGGACTGGGTACCAATCCATTAAACCCATTGAGGACTTGGCACAGACAGCCGAGATCTGCTTCTCCAGCGAATGATAATGCCCATAGCCGGGTTCAACCATCCAGGCCCATCGTTTTTATCTATCATGCCTTCAAAATGCCTACCTGCTTTCAAAATGTTTCCCCTCTCTCCTATTTTCTGGCTGCGAGGACTCCTTTGAACCACGTGTCTGACTGCAACTCTCTCAGGTTAATTATTATTTGTGCTCCTCTCCGATCTGCCGCCCGCCTGCACTCACCGCGGGCAGACACAGGACACACACCTCGGCCAGCACCGCCTGCCCCGCTGGGAGGGCGCAGGGTTCCCCCGGCACCGGCTCTCACTACCAGCATCGGGGCCAGATGTCCCCTCTGGGGCAGTCACAGAAAACTAAAACGGCCGCTTCCAAAAGAACTGTGAGTCTACACATTTGCCCAGACATCCCGAAAATTATTCATTAACTAAAATATGTCCATTAAAACATTTGAAATAGTTCTTTTTTCTTTCTTTATCCTTAAAGATATCCGCTAGCCCAGCGGCCGGCCGGCGTGTGCTGGAGCCGCCAGGAGCGCGGAGCCAGAGTGGCCCTGCGCGCTCCCCGCGTGCTCCTCCGCAGCGCGGTCCCCGGGGCGCAGCCGCGGGCCTCGGGGCTCCTGCACCGCACAGCCTGGCTCCTCCGATTAGGTAGATGTTGGGGGGACGGGACAGGGGGCGCTGAGGAACCCCGCCTCGGGGGCCCCGGCCCCAGCCCTCGCGGCCCCCGCGCCCGGCGGCCTCACTCACTGCGCGGCCCGGGGGCACCGTCCCGCTCCGGCTGCGCCCGGGTTTCCGGAGGGACTTGGATCAATTGACTCCGCGGTTTGGATCAATCAAAGGAGCGGAGCAGGTGGAGGGCAGGAGCCCAGGAGACCGCGTGGATCCTCCGGCGGGGATTTCCACCGGCTGCCAGGTGCTTCAAAGCCGGTGACGTGGGCGATCCGGCGAGTTCCTGCCAATCCTCCAGGCCCGGCCCGGCCCGGCCCTGCCCGGCGTCTGATCTCAGCACCCCGGACCCCCGGCCTCCAGCGGTGCCCCCTGCCGCCGGGCCGGGCCGCACCGGGAGCGGGGCGGCGGTGGAAGAACAACAATAGGATCGATGACAATAGCGAACAGCCCGAGCGGCCCCACGTGCCAGTCGGCACCTGCCTGCCCCGGGCACCCGCCTCTGGGCTCCGCGGAAAACAGCACACACACACACACACACACACACACACACACACACACACACACACACACCGAGGGGAGCACCGGCCCCGGCCCGATTTAGCGGCGGGCCAGAGCCAGACGGGAGCCCGGGCGTCCTTCAGAGCAGCCGGTGTCAGGACCTGGACGGTGGGAAGAGGGACTGCCAGGGCTGGCTAACCCTCGGGACAGAACTGGGACAACTGCGGACAATAAACACATCAAGGACAAAAAAGGGGGGGGGGGGATAGCGGCTTTAATCCCCTGAGTCAGACCCCTTTTATCTCCCGTCCTCTCCAGGGGCCCAAAGGGGGCTGGGGGCCGGGAGGGAAGTCAGGTTGCCTCTCTGGGTTGGTTTTCTGAGTCCCGAGCCTCCAGGAGGCTCCGGGGCCTGGAGGGCTGCCGGTGAGAAGGCAGAGTCCTGCCCGGGACGGGTTGGGGGAGAGGTGGGGAGAGGAGGGCTGGCGACGAAGTTTCCGAGGGAAGGTGGGAGTCCGGACCCTCCGCTGTCCCGCGTCTCACCGGAAGCTGGACCGACCCAACCACTCATCCCAGAAACAGGAACCGTTCACCCCAAAACAGGCAGCGGCCGGAGGCGTTGGCGGAGGTCCTGGTTACCCGTCCGTCCCTTTGGAACCGGACCCACAACCGACTCAAGAACCGAGTTTTCGGAAACCCACATTTCTTATCCAAGGGCCCCCAATATTCTTCGCACTCCGACGTGTAAAGGGCCGGTGGAGACCTGCGCCCCAGCCGGAGGGAAGGCGGAAACCGGCGGCCGTGCAGGCGTCGCCCAGATGCCTCGCCAGACGCGCGGCACTCGCTCCGGCCTGCAGTGCGCGCCTTTGCCCGACAGGGACCAGCACCGTTCCACCATCCGCCATCCATCCACCGTCCACCGTCCACCGTTCCACCCTCCTCCACCCACCGTCCACCCTCCACCCTCCACCATCCGCCGCCCACCGTCCGCCCGCAGCGCCCGCCGCTCGCCCGGCCACCAGGTGGAGGCGCGGGCCGCCCGCCCAGCGCGCCCTCCCAGCCCGAGCGGCTGTCCAGAGAAGCCAGTCTGACCCTCTTCGGGTGCGGGTTCCCGCAGGGAGGAGGACGATAACGAAGCCGTGACCAGCCTCCCGGCGGCCCGAGCCGGGCGCCGTCCCTCCCACCCACATCCCCAGGAGGAGAGCCGGAGCCCTTAGAAGTTGGTCCGAGCTCCAGAGTCAAACCCCGGCCACACGGCACGGACTCCTCCGGGGCGCGGCCGCCGTTAGAGGGCTGCATGCCTCCCGGAGCGCCCTTCTCTGCGGAGAGCTCTCCCGATCATTCCTAGGGCACCCTGGGCCACGGAGCTGCCAGAGCTGCTCGAGAAGTTTCTCTGGGTTGCGGAAAGTACCCCCTCACCCACCCACCCCTGTCTCCCGAAACACTCGGTGCCGCGCAGGGGTGAGGTTCTCCCCGCAGCGGGCCGGCACCACGCATTCGTTCTCAGCCTCTCTCCGCCCCCGGGAGTTCGGGGGTTCGAGACTGTACCCCTGTCACTTCCCCAGCCCAAGCCACGTCTCCCTCCTCCTCCTCCGTTCTGGGCAGCAGCGCGCGCCTCTGGCCCCGGCCCAGCCGGGGAAACTCACCGGTACCAGGCGAGGCCCTTGTCGTAGCTGCGGTCGAAGAAGTGGGGCTCGGCGCCCACGGCGCGCACGTCGGGGTGCACTCGCAGGAACTCCAGCAGCGCCCGCGTGCCGCCCTTCTTCACGCCGATGATGATGGCCTGCGGCAGCTGCTTGCTCCCGGACCCGCTCAGGAAGCTGGAGATGGGGCTGGGGGAGTCCGGCGCCTCGGGGCTCTGCTCCTCTGGGCTCGTGGCGCCCTCGGCCCTCTCCGGGGCCGCCGCCAGCGGGGTGGTCGGGACGGTTTGGAAGAGCAGCTTCGGGAGAGCCCGGTGGTCGGAGCCCGGGGCCGGGGCGGGCGGGTCGTGGACGGCGCGGGACCCCGAGCCCGAGCCCAGCAGCAGCAGCCCCGGCGCGGCGGCGCAGGAGCCGGCGCACGAGTACAGGAACATGTAGAGCCAGACGCACAGCATGGCGAAGAGCAGCGCGAGCCTCCTCCTCACCGGCGGCGGGGGCGCCTGCGGCTGGGGCAGGAGCCAGCTGGGGGCATGGAGGCAGGGCCGGCTGCTGCTCAGGCGCTGCCCCATGCGCGGCCCGCGGGCGCGGCGAGGGGCATGGCTCAGCACATGGCACCGGTCCCGCCGGAGCCGCGAGCGCGGAGAGGGGTCCTCGGCCCTCCGGACGCCCGGTGGGGGGCGGGGGGGCTTTATTGCCCCCGTGCGCCCCGGGCCACCGCCGCCACTGCTCCCGCTGCGCTTCCCCAGGTGGCGGCAGCAGCTGTAGCGGCCGCGGCTTTTGACATGTTGCCCGGGAGGAGCCGCAACTGGATCGAAAGTCGGGGTGGCGGGCAGCTGCCGGGCTGGGGACCGCTCTCACGGCGCGACGGCCCGCTCCGGGGCAGGAGGGCGCCGCGCTCCCGTGTCCTGGCCGCTCGGACGGTGCGTACGGCCGCGGCCCGGGGCTGCCTCCCTCCCCGCCGCCCCGCGAACCGCTGCTGAGAGCAGCCCGGCACTTCCTCGCGGAGGGAGGCTGCGGAGAACTGCGCAGGAAGAGTAGAGACCGAGGTTGGGTGGGCGGGCCCGGCCGGCGGGAGTGACAGGCTGCTCCGCCTACCAGGACCCAGCGCCTCCATGCAAATACAGCGGCTTGGCAGAGGCTCCAGCAGCCAACCAGCTCCCGGGAAGCGGGGGTGTGGAAAGGGTTTGGGGCGGAGGGAAGTGGCCGGGTGTTTCTATTGGCTGCAGAGTCGGGAGGGCGGAGCCAGGGACGGGTGACAGGAGCGGTGGGAAGGAGGATGCTGGCATAAGCCGGCGCTGGAAGGGGACAGACCCCACCGAGTGGTGGGTGCACTTCGGCGCCCGGCGCATTTCCGCACTCGCTGTCCTAGCCCAGAGGTCGGGACGCAAGTCCCATCCAGTTGTTTCGTGGGCGGGCGCCCGACGTGTGTGTGTGTGTGTGTGTGTGTGTGTGTGTGTGTGTGTGTGTGTGTGTTGCGCAGTAGGGAGGGGATTGGAGAAGCGATAGTCAGACGGAACTTGCAGGACCCAGACATGAGACATGAGTGCAGACCCAAAACCATCCATAGGCTGGGGTGCAGGGGGAGGGTAGGAGGTTAATGAAGTTCAAGTAGAAAGCATATTTGGAAATTGCTATCAGGTTTTTATTTTTAATGGCTTTCTTATTCTTTGCTAGGAGTTGATCTCTCTAGGTTGGCCACGTTAGCTGGGATGGGTACAAACTGCCCTCAGAAAAAAATCTACCCCAATTGCCCAAACTTCTGAGAAAGATGAGGGTGAATGGGGGGTTGGGGTGGGAAGAGATATTATCAGGGAGATAAAGGCCTGTGGGAAAGTGAGTGTGAAAGTCACCTGTAAAGAGTTTTGTGGGGATATGAGTTTGTTGGGGACATTAAGTTGGGAGAAAAGGTTCAATCCTCCCTTTTCCCTGATTAATAATAAAGCCCGTTCACCTTCATTTAGGATACAGTTTGGTTTGCTGGCCTGTTACACTAATTATTAGGTGCTGTTTTCTCACCAATTTATGCCAAACTTTAAAGACCGGCCCCTGAGTTGCATTTATTTAGAGTCAGTCCACTGGAAGCCGCTATCCTGGTCTCTTCCTGAAAAGTACCCCGGGGCGCGGGCGGGCGGGGGCGCTGAGCCCGCGGCGGGAAGCGGGAAGCGGGAAGCGCGGGCAGGGATGCTGCCCCCTCACCAGGCGCGCGGAACGCGGAGGCTCCGGAAGCTCCGGTTCAGAAGGTCTAATGCCTGTCACCTGGTCCGGCGGGGCGGCGGGCGGCGGGCGGCGGGCTGTTCCGGGACGGAGCGTTCCTTCCGATCCCCACCCGCGGCAGCGGGACGGGCGGAGTGCGCCCTCGAGGTGCGCGCCCGGAGCCGCTGCCCGGTTGCAATTCGCGGCTGGCTGCGGACACAGCGGAACCGACCTGAGCCCTGCCCTCTGTCTCGGCTGCCAGCCCCGACACTCTGGCCTCTTCTTTTTAGTGAATGTCTCTAAGTCCCCTAAGTGCCCTAAGCCCCCGAGGTCCTGCTCCGCTGGAGCACAGAGAAAGCCGGGACGGGACGCAGGCCCTGGGTCCCTCAGGTTCGCAAAGGTGCCCGAAAGCGGTGGCCGTGACCGGGGAGGTTCCTCGAACCCTGGGGACCGCGCCGGGCTCTGCTCCCCGCCACCTTTTTGCAGCAACTTTGAGCCCCAGATACTTTCCGACAAAACTGTGGAGGGAGAAATCATTCCGATAAAGGACCCCCCCCCTCCCCCCTTTACATTCGCAGGGGAAATTTTTCCAGCTTTTCTTTTCTTTTTCTCCTGTCGCTAGGATGTTGTGTTTGTTCTTTAGAAGAAGTAATTTACCACCAACCCCCCCCCCGCGCGCGCGCGCGCGCGCGCGCGTGTGTGTGTGTGTGTGTGTGTGTGTGTGTTTGTGTGTGGTGATAATGATGATGATGATGAGAATGTGTGTCTGAGCATTAGCCTGACCCTTTATTTTGGAAATATGAGAGGGGAACGTTAGTGTCTCCAAAGAGTGTATCTACAAATCACGTTATTTATGGGGAATGACGTTATTGTCTTCCCTCTTTAGGCGGCCCGAGTTGATGACTTTTGTGGGTTTGGGGAGGAGGGCGGTAGTGGTTTCTGATCTGTGTTGTGTTCAGGAGAACCGTAGCTTCCATGTGTCTAACTTCAGGCCCGGATGGGTGTGAATCATGGTTTTAGAAAATATTTGATGATCCTAATAAAAAACGGTCTCTGTCTGTAGGGTTAGCAAAGTCTAGTGTAAAGGGGGAAGGGTGTAAGCAGTTACAAGTGGAGCCACCGGATCTGTTTAGGTGCGGGGAGGGAAGGAATGGAACCGGAGACGTGGGCGTCGGAAACCCCCCGGGAGCGCGCGGGGCTGGGGAGCCAAGGGCCTCTGAGGACTCGGGTCCGCGGCCTCCGGGTCGGAGCGGCTCCCGGTGGAGTGTGACGCGGCGGCGGAGCAGGACCTGGGCCGCTACCCGCTACTTTGGCCCATCAGTCCCCTGGGCTGTGCCGCCCGCTGAGCTTTCCAATCTCCGGTGGAGACTCCACATCCCCGCGCGAGGCCGATGCTGCGGGCTCTGCCCTTGGCAAACCCAGCAGTCCCATCCGTAGATGCAGAACCGGGGCCCGACCCTGGGCGGAGCTGTGGCGAGGCTGAAGGTGGACAGTTTGCGTCTCAGCCCGGACCCTCTGCCCCGCGGCACAGGCACAGGGTCCTCCGCGGGGCCGGCAGGAGAGCGCCGCCGCCCACGCCCGGAGCGGTCCTCCCGGCTCAGCTCAGTGAGCGCGTGTGCACGCGGGGAATCTGGAACTCAGCCCAGTACGCCTACAAGACTTAGAGTTGCGCTATGTTAGATGGTTTGGGGTTCGCTGATGGGGTTGCGCACCTGGGCTGGGAAGGTCCGGCTCCCGCAGGCAACCCCCGAGGACGGCCAGGGCTCCCTCCGGCGCCACTCTCGGACCCTAAAGCGCCCCCTACACACACACACACACACACACACACACACACACACACACACACACGCACACACACGTGAAAAATAGGAGGCTTGGGCCAAAGAGCCCCGCGATGTCTAATGCCTGGAGTTTCGGATTCAGGGCTCCGGAGCGAGGCGCACCCCCGCAGCTGCTCAAGTACCCCGCCCGCTCCCCCTGGGGGACCCCAGCGCCCCTGGTCCGTGTCCCCCACTGCTCCCTGCAATGGCCTCATTCCTGGGCTGCCACCGGAACCGCACAACCTCCCCCACCCCAACACCTTCAGCCAGCGGGCGGCCGGCCCCTGCGGGTTCGCGGCGGCTGGCTGGCTGCGCCTGGGGCCGCGGCTCCGCGCCCGCCCGCAAGGGGGCGCCCCGAGAGCTGCGGGCGCTGGAGCGGCCACGGGGCTGAAGCGGCGGGCAGTTCACTGCGACAGGACATGCGGAGGAGACTTGCCCCTCTGCTGGGGCCTCTGAGGCGCCTCCCCACCTCCGCCCGTCCCAGAACCCAGGGCTCTGGGCGTCTGGTGCAGCCAGGGAGCCCCTCACCGCGCAGGGAGCTCCTGGCCGGAGCTCGGCGTTGGCAGGCCTAGAAGTCCCCATAGGAGAGGCTGGAGGTCTCCACCTGGAGGAAAGAAACGCTTCCCAGCGCTGAGCCCCCGCTGGGCCAAGGGGTAAGGACCGCCAGCCTCAGGCGCATTCCCAGCACCCCCACTTGTGCATGGGTAGCAGGTCACCGCAGTGCACACCGCCATGCATGAGGAGCCCTCTGCGAGTTTAGAGGACGGCCCATCGATGTTCCTCCAGATGCCAGCAGTTCGATGCCCACATTGGTTTGTGACTTGTTCCCCGAGGAGTCAAAGGCCTGGGCTGATTCCAAATCCCTCCTCCACATGGCACCCTGCTCTGGGCCAGAGGTTCCTTTGCCCCTGGGAAATGGCGGGGTAGGGGGTGAGGGTGGGGAGCTGAGGTGGAAGAATGTGTGCCCAGGCTCCCTCCTGGCTGAGGCCGCAAGGCTGGAGGCCTCGCTGTGACCAGGTCCCCATGGCTGTCCCCTCACTCCGGGCCCGAGATGGCGAGGACAGCTGCCTTACCAACGCCAAGGCGCCGTGATGTCCCTTCTCCTCCGGGCAGCTGTGAGCAGTCCTGTTGACACAGGCACTCCTCACATCACCCAGGCCCAGCGTGCCATCTTCCCTGCCAGGGCCTGGCATGGACCCCACCAGGGCAGCATTGCTTGTCCGCAGCTGGTTCCCACCGCTCACCGGCTGTGCGGCCTGGAGCAAGTTCCACAGCCTCCGAGCCTCCCCCATGGCCTGTCACTGCACCCCCACCTGCCCCTGCTTCAGACCCTCTCTCTTTCTTTCCTCTCCCCACAGTGGACATCTCCCTGCCAACCCTGTCTCCATCCCTCCTGGCCTTGCGCGCTGCGTTGAGGAAATTGTGCCATAGATGCTGGCCCTGCTTTCATTTTCCACAAAATCTTCCCACAGGCAAATCCAAGTGCCTGCCACTTCCTGGTCCCAGAGATGAGTATTTCCTCAAAGTTTGTGGGGGAACAGGTGCTGGCAGGGGACTGTCTGCACCTTCCCTCCTCCCACCCCTATGCTGCCGCACCCCAGCTCCCTCCTCCCGCCCTCGCGTCACCTGCAGGAAGCTGCAGGCCAGTGGACACACAGTGACCCTATTGGTGTTCCGGATTTCAGCCGCTCTCACCTCAAGGACATCTCTGTTCCCACCCCCTTGCTCTGAGTCACATTCTGTCCCTGTGATGGACAATGCTGTGACACCCAGACCCCTTCCAGGAGGGACACGCCCGCTCAGCTGCCAGCTGTCAGCCCTTCTGGACTGAAGTCTGGCATCACCCGCCTTCCCCAGGTGGCCCCCCTCCACTGGCAGGGCGGGGGGCAGAGGAGGGGCCTGGTCATCCCAGCCAACTGCAGACACCCCTGCGGGGCAAGCAGCCCCAGAGCTTCCTGTGGGCTTGGCAATGGGTGGCAGGTCTGTCTCACAGCAGTGCTTCTCCCTCTGCCCCAGGTGGCCTCCCCCTCTTCCTATAGGTGTTGGTCCCAAGGGCACTTCCTAATGAGCATCCTGCTCACTCTCCAGAGACTCCTCCTGTCTGTGTGTCTCTCTGGGATGATCCACATCAACTTCCAAACAGTTTTCTGTTCCTCTTCATTGTCAACTGCATGCACAGTTTCTTCTTCCTCACGCTTCCTCTTTGTTGTGCCAGATTTTCTTTAATGATGGAAGCATTCAGACAAGCTCTGGGGAAAAAATCAAATTTGTAAGAAATGGAGTAAATCCGACTCTCTGACCCCAACCCAAGTGTCTTCTTCAGAGGTAAACAAGTAAAGAGTATATATTATCTGCCTCTTATTTCATTTTATTTTTTCAAATG